TCGATATTTATATCGAATTTAGGAAAATATCGATATCCGATCCGATATATCAGCCATTCCAACATTTCCAACACGATATTTTCTATATTTTCATAGCGCTGTAAGAAGTATCAAATCAAAAGCAATTTCGAATCAAAGATATTTATTTCGTTTAAAATGTTTGCACGCAGCCAAAATCAGAATAGATAATCATATGAAAAACAATTGTTATGTATTAGTAAAACCTACACATCAGGGGCGTGCCCATGGCTTCAGAATAGGGTAAGCCCAAAGCTTCCAAAATTACTATACCTATCTTACTTTCTTGACTTAGCGAGCTTAAAAAAATTACGATTTGTATAAGATTCGTAATTTTATTTTGTGTTATATTACAATCATATTAAATTTCAATTAATTAGTAGTTGACAATTATCTAGAAAGAGAGGCAAGGATTTTATTTAAGTGCGTGAGTTACCATTAGGTATACGAATATACCTATATACGTTGGTGTCGATTCTGGCATGATTATCTAAACTTAAAACTAAATTTAACATCAGTCTCTCTTTTTCATTCTGTATAGAGAATGACAAGGATACACTGTTGTCAAATTTAATTTTAGGTTTAGAGAATCATACCAGAATCCACACCAGTTTAGTATATTTCTTGGGGTTCAAGATTTTTTTGATACTATTAATCTATAAGCTCTTGCGATTTCAAAGCATTAGTTATTTCGATATTATTCAATTTAGATAGTCATAGTAGGTAAATTCATTGACATTATTGTGTTCAAATTTAGTCTACGAAATATCGATATTTTGGAATTTCCGATATCGATATTATCGATATTCCGATATATCGTTGCAACCCTAAACTACACTAAATAAACGTCTCTATTTTTAGATGATCTTGGTTTCAGGTATGCAGATTATTAGTCTTAATATACGGTTTATCTTCATAGTATACCGGTTTTGCTAGTTGTATCTCGTAATAGCAAATAATCAAGTTGTGTATTTGTAGTTTTTATAAACGTTCAAGTTAATAAGTGCTTACCAATGTGCTTATGGTAAAATGCTAAAGTAGATTCGTATGCTTTGGAAGAACAAATTTCATGTAATTTAAACCGCTATTGCATAATAATATTCACTTCCTACTTTGTAAATCTAAGTGGATATGTGTGGATAAATCTAACGAATATATCTGTGTGTAGCCTATGATTTACTTTTCAGTCAAAGAACTGCCCTACGTACCAAAGAGCCTGTAGCAAAGGCGTGGGTAAACTTGTGTTGGGCAAGGTATGAACTTGATACATATTTATTTTAAATACTTCTTGGTACATTAACATGCAATAAAGTGGTGAGAAACATTTTTCATGCCATAAATTCATTAGTCGTACTTAAATAGCGAATCTCTAATGTTAAAATGTTCATTCATCAAATTATCTTTATCCAAAATAGGTAAGCTAATTAATATTGATTAATGCTAACTATTTATGATGTCTTGTCAATATAAAGAGAGTATTAAAAAACCGTTACGCTTTAACTATATTTTTTTAACATGAAGAGATTTAATACTGCCTTGGCGCAATTAATTTTTATCGATCGGCTAATTGTTTTCTGCCGCTTTTAAGGACACAGTAATAAACACGTATTAGTTGAATAAAATTGCAGAAATAATTAATTCAGAAAGTAAATACTTATAAGAACCGGGGCGCCTCATATTACGGTATACTTGCTTGTGGAATTACAGGAATCAGAGACTTTGATAGATTATCTTGTACAAGCTATACCCGAGCAGGATTGCGATCCATTTGGCTTGAGTTGGGTTCTAATTAAATATCTTATATTCCTATTTTTTTGAACTAAGTGCAACTTACCTTATAACCATCGTGATGTTTATTTCAATAACCCTAAAGCTTGGTTTTTAAAGATGTCGGTATATCTCTAGTGATGCTGTGATGCTTTATTGTATGTCATGAATATTAGGCTCCAAAGAGTATAAAAGACCGATTTATATAAAAATTATAGGTAACGATTATCACATAAAATCTCTAAAAAATGGATCCAACGAAAGTGCGACAGCGCGCGGATTAAGTAGATTAGGTGAAAATATCGACAGTGCATGTGCAAACTTTCGATATTGAGAGTTGGATGCGTGAGTTCGCATAAATGAAGCTGCAGATTTATTTGCATGAGTCACGTCCTCAGACACAGATCTAAGGCGCCTTTCTCAACGGATCGGTGCGGTATCATTTCGTTTTCATCTTTGTACCGAATCTGTAAACATTTTTTACCGAGTGCATGTCAATAAGTGAGAGCTTCACACACCTCTCTGTACCGAGTGTTACCGAACAGTGGTTCACCCGCCCGACGTGACGGCTTTATGACAAATGACATACGCTTAGCAAACAAAACAAAACGATACCGCACCGAAACTGAGCCGGTCATAGTAGTGGTTTACGGTAAAGAATCTGTACTGGAGCTCTACTCTCTTTCTCCGAAACGAAATTTCGGTAACGAACGAATTTCAAACGAAATTTCGAACACGCACATAAAGTTCGGAATCGAAAACAATTTTCGTGAACGAATGGAATGAGTCATGTTTGTGAGTTCTTTTTATGTTTACTTTTTAAATAACGTTTTTACTTGGAAACAATGTTACTTTATGACAACATTTTTGATGACACTGAAAGAACCTTTTTCGACAGTGTTAGCCGACTAATTTGTAGAGTTGATACAATCGATTGTCTGTCAACCTAAATTTGTCGTTTAATATTTTGAAGTATTGGAAATACAATAAATAATAAAAATTACGTTTCTTTGTTAATTTTACATGCTATAAAATGTTTCTCGAGCTAAGCAGCCTGGATGAAAAATACTCTTTCAAGCATTTTAGACTTAATTCAAATAAAAATCCCAAAACGAAAAAGAAAAGGTAACAGTTTTCATTTCGTCAATTTGAGGTTAAAATTTCGGACAATTATATGTCAAATTCAACTTTTAATTCGAAAGTATTGTGAATTAGAGTGGGCTTGGAGAATTTAACTGTTAAACTATTTTCGGACGAACGAATTTTCGATATGAAAAAGAAATAGAGTAAGAAACGTGCGAAATTTCGATCGAATTTTCGTTTTTCGTCGAAATAGAGTAGGCCTCCAGATCCGGTACAGAAACGAAAGAGAAACGATCCGATGAGAAAGACGCCATAGGGCATAGTAGAAAATTTGCCTCTCGAATTGGAGCGCCCACCTGGATAAGTAACCTCCACCTTACCGAAGACCACAGCAAAATAACACAACCTTTTGATGGTATTCTTTTCTGCCAGTGAGTAAGGTTTCGAGGCTTCACGGGGGGCTAAGGCCGGTAACTCATACAACAAAACATCAATACTAACGTGACACGCACACAGACACAAAATAATAATTTGACAAATATCTTTGACAAATCCCAACTAATCCCATGGTCGGCGTGTTGATCGCATTTTTTTCGCCCTGCCCACTTGATCGCAGTTTGAGTGAAACCACTTTTTAGTGCAGTTCATCTTCCATGTCATTTCCAATCTGTTCATTGCAAGTGTACATAGGCTATAGCGGCCGCTTACACATCAGGCGGGCCATATGCTTGTATGCTACCCTTAACATAAAAATATTTTTTACACACGAATTACATACACTAGCGTCATTTATTTTGAACTATGTCTGTGGTCACATTGGCTGTCGACTCGCGCACTAAGCTGACGGCTGGGCGGCAGGCGCGTCCCGTTGCCGGCTTCTGCGGTGGTGGCATTGCTTCCTGGTGCAACGATCGATTTTATATTCATCACCTGTGTATGTGTAGAGGCCAGGGTATAATAAATAAAGTATTTACCCACTCGCAATTCACGAACGCTTGTTCTTTCTCAATCCAATCGTGTTTTGTAATCTAACATCTTAGAAGTACGCTACGCACCCCATTATGTTTAGCTCATAAACTAACATTACCTTCCTATAAAATATCCTCAATATACAATAAATCGTTCAAACTATCTTAGTATGATTACCAAGCATTATTTTAAAAACCTTCTTTGGGATAAATGCGAGGCCAAGTACATGCGAGCAGCGGCCGCCAAAAGTTGTATGAAAAACAGGAAAATCCATATCTGTCGTGGTTTATCGGTCAAATAAATTACATAGTAAACTCATATTTGTCGTGTAATTCAGAGTGCGACAAGGATCTTTATGAATGTGAGTGATAGTCCAGGGAGGGCGCTGCTGAATGCTAGCGAATATCACGAGTTTTAGGGAAGTTGACTTGTTTTATATTTTATTTATTTCGAAAAAAGAAATACGAAAAAATTTATGAAACTATTTTATTTCAAAAAAAAAAACTTAGTTATTTATCACTTTCACTAAATAGTTCATTCTTATATATTCTTATTTATCACTTTCACTAAATAGTCATAATTTAGTGTTCAATAGTACGAAATAGCGTTTATATAAGTAGGTAATACTGTAGTACCACCTACAATATCATTGTGAAAAAAATTTCAGCATGCAATGAGAGAATTGTGAAAGTAGTAGGTAGTAGTAGATTATGATTAGTAGTTGCGCCTACACTTTTTTTTAATAACCACTCTGATTAAAAAAATCTCAGTAACTTACTTTTACACAGAAACGCATTAACCGACAGTGCTTTTTTTTCATTGAGTTAAGCGAAATCGCCGAGCCGTTGCAATTATCATTTTATTACCTTTTGTACTCGCGACCGAGATAAAATACTTTATACTTTCTATGCGAGGTGTGTCGAACTGTAATGTCTGTGTTATTCGCATTCGCTTTGTTATCGCGAAATCCAGATACCGCTCACTGGACTTTTTTAAGGGCGGTGAGACTTTACTCTGCCTGGAATTGCCGACAATTTCCTTGTTAGTTTATGTAAAAACGAGACCGTAGTGCAATAATGGTAATCGTGTCTATAATTCTTCGTAATATTCTAATAGGCCCATATTGCTGTTATTTGTCATTGTAGCGCTTGTTTTTGTTACAGTTTTGTATTGAACCCATTGACGCCGGTACAAGAGACACGGTGCCTTCTGCAGAATGATACTCAAGCCAACAACCCCATGGCTACACCTCAGGTATTATTTTAAATTTTTTTTTTTGGAGGGAACTGAGCATTTTTCATTGGTGGCAATCAGATAGTCATATATTTTTTTGTTATTAAAATTACTTTTGGTAGTGTCAAGTTCTACTCGAATGTCAAGGTTGTCGCCTTACTTTTAAACTTTTGAAAGATCAGTTGTGCACTTCTTCAGTGATCAGATGACATCCATTTTGGCACGTACAGTAAGAGTTTCTTTAAAAAAAGGCTTTGTTTTGTATTGACAGACCCCCATAAGATATCAGTAAATCCGTATTAAGTTGTCGGTATCAATCCTCACGTTTGAATGTCCCGCTCATATTTTGTGTATGATATCATATCTTTGCTCCATAAACTAAAAGCTCCTTAGGATCTGGATAAACAGTTGTTTCGCTATCCGGGCGGATGCACTGACTAATTATGTTACCGCGGCCTTAATGGCCGCGTCGAATTTCCTCTAGTATTTCTTAGGCTGCAAGGAAGTGCCATCTATTCGCAATGTAGGTAACCCACAATGTCAAACGAATACCATTACAAGTATGAAACATTTGAAATAAGAAATAGCAATTATAGTTATATTATTATTGAATAATTTAACTGCTAGATTTCTAAATCTAAAGAAAATTTTACTACAAAAGAATCCACGCGGACCAGGCAGCAGAGGAGACTCGAACCCGCACCTTTCGCTATGCGGCTGGATGCTCTGACCAATTATGCTACCGCCGCACTACTGGCCGCGTCGAATTTCCTCTAGTATTTCTTAGGCTGCTAAAATACGTGTATAGCTTCTGTCTTTCATAATATTTTAATTTCTTCATAATATTTTTTTTTTAGTTTCAAAGACCTTATTAACTTTGTGCAATTGCGAGTTATGCATTTCAATAAACAAAACAGTATCTGTTTAGTTAAACTTGATATTTTAGTAAGATTCTCTGTGAAAACTTTTTATTTCAATGTAAAAATAAGTATTTCTTAAGCGTCCACCTACAATAATCTTTCCACCTACAAATTGTTGTATAACATTAATCATTTACGGGGGGAAAATGTAAGTCCAGAAAAATTGGTTAAAAAATTGAATCATATGAACTTTATAATAACGAATATTCAACAACGCTATCAACCGCAACTATGCAATTATAATGAATACGATGGAAATTAATATTGTATAATACCTTGAACGCAAAGATGTCCCAATCTTCGATACAAATGAAGCACGTGTTTTTCATACAATAACAATTAATGAAAGCAAAAGTACCCGATTGTCAGTTATAATTAATGCTAATGATATTCAATTAAACAGCTAAGCAGATGCACTTGTTAAAATTTATTCCGTAACCATTATAACCATAGTTATAATGGCATGCGTGGAAAACTTTAAATTGCGGTAGAAAAAATCTTCATTATAAAAAATGAGTAACGTACAATTGATTTAATTTTGTTTTCATCTATTTGTTTTATTATATAAAGAAAGAAAAGAATACACTCACAGACTTGGAATGATGAAATTTGGACAGAAGGTTCCTATTACGATGGCTCCTACGTAAAAGGGCCAAAATGCCGCTTAAGCCTTTTTCCAATTATTTGTGCAATGAGTTTATTTAGACCTAATCTATAATATAAAAAAATAAAAAAAAATTTTTTTTGGCTATTTCAAAAATAAATTTTTAGGCATATGGGCGTATACGCACTAAATAGTTGCGTATAAGGCCCGATGAAACGATCGGTCCATGTACAGCGTCGAGGAATCGCGACGGGGTGCGGTGAGCGGGCGGAGGTACCGCTTCAGTCGTTCTACTCAGTGTTTGGGAACTTTCCGTCGCGACAGTGGCGCTCGTGCGTTTGTAGTGTAAATTTATATATAATTCAACTAGTTTTAACGGAAATGCTTCCAAAGAAAGGTATGCGGTTAACAAGAGCTCAAAAAATTATAGATAAAATTATGCATCAAAACAACAGCACTGATTTAAGCTTCGAAGACGAGATTCAAAACGAAAATAATGACACGGAATGTACAGGTAAGATACAAAGATCTATTTTGTCTTTTAATACATAAATTACATAACATCAGTGTGGTAATCAATTTTTATAGTCACAAAATATATTTTTGTAACTATTTTACCGAAAACCGTGTATAAAGGCGTAAAGTCACATCTGCCTTTTTACGTAGCTTAATTTATCATAAATCGTTTTCGCCCATTTTTGAATTTTAATGATTTTTGTACTTAATGGAAAATAATTTAATATTTTTTATTAGTTACAAGTATAACTATGCGTTTTACAAAATAAGGTAGTGTTCTTATTAGCTAGGTATTTATATTTACTTAATAATATGCCATGGCGTAACTGCAGGTGGGTATTTGAATTGAAGTTATTATTTGTTATAATTATATTATACAATACCAATTTGATTTGAAATATTATATTATCTTTTGTTGCAGTATCTCCTCTTCCATCTGGTGCAGAATATGCAGTTGAAGATTTATCTTTTGAAATTTTCGTTCATACAGACTTACAGCTAACAAAAACTGTTGAAGATGATGCACAGACGTCTCCTATTGATAAAACTGAATCTGTAATTTTTAATACACCAATGCCTTCACCGCCAATGTCATTTTCAGCTTACTCCAACGTGGATAGTTCTTTTGAAAAGTTTCCATTTACTAATTCAGACTATTTAACATCAACGCCAGAGTTAATCGAACCTATGGATGATAACTATGAAAATCCGAGTTCTGTTATATCTAGTGATATACAATCCTCTGCATCAGTTAGTGAACCAGCTGTATATTCGTCAAGTGACGTTTTCTCACCATTTTTAAGAAATAGGAAAAAGAAATATACTAAAAGAAAAGATATTGGAAGACTCAGACAGACATATCAAAGAGAATGGATAGATATGAAACGGAAACGCTTGAAAAATTTAGGCTTGCAATACCAAAGTCGGGACGGTAAACTAAGACGTGCAAAAACACTAGGTGCTTTAAGATGTTACCCAAAATGTGCATACAAGTGTTATGAAAAATTTACAGATCCTCAACGTCAAAAAATATTTGATAGATTCTGGGCTGTTGGTGACCATTCAAAACAGTGGGATATTCTAGCTAGGTATGTGCATAAAATTAATAAACGTAGAACTATCTCTGAAGAATCACGGCGCACGTTTACCTATGTTTATTACCTGCCTGTTCTAGACAGTGATAATAACACTACATTTAACGTAGATAATGATCAAAAACACCGCGTTTGTAAAACAACATTTTTACAAACTTTTTCTGTTAGTGAAAAAGTTGTTCGCACAGCTATAGCCAAAAATATGGGTGAACTGACAGCCTATGATCAGAGAGGACATCACATGAATCACCCTATAGTTACTTCTGATGCTATGATCGAGAGTGTTCTGGACCATGTAAAATCATATGTGCCGGTGGAGTCTCATTACTGTCGAAAAGATACCAGTAGACTTTATTTGGATGGGTCGCTCACGTTTAGGAGAATGTATACGATGTATAATGAATGGTTCGATTCAAATAGGTACCCATCAAAGTGTGCATCTCTGCGACAATATCGTGACATTATAAACAAAAATATTAACTTAAGTTTCCACAAACCTAAAAAAGACTTGTGCGATACATGCCACGTTTTTAAAAATACACCTGAACCGAATGAAAACTTGAAATTAGAGTACGCGACACATACAAGTAATAAAAACTTAGCTCGATCATTAAAGACAGAAGATAAAAAGCAAGCTGCACTAAACCGTGAAAAAATATTTTGTGCATGTTACGACATGCAAAAAATCTTATATTGTCCCCACGGTGATGTAAGTATATTTTATTATAAGATGAAATTAAAATTATACAATTTCACAGCCTTCGATATAGATAAATTACAAGGATTTTGTTATTTATGGTCTGAGCAAGATGGGAAGAAAGGGCCAAATGAAATAGCAAGTTTTGTATATGATTTAATTGTGAAAAAATCCAAAGAAGGCTATAATGATTTTCGCTTTTGGTCTGATAACTGTTCAAGCCAGAATAGAAACAGGATAATATTTTTCATGTACTTATATACTTCTAAAAAATTTGGCGTCAATGTTAAACATACGTACTTGGAAAAAGGACACACTCAATCGGAAGTGGACAGCGTTCATGCAACCATTGAAAAGGCTGCAAAAAATAAAATCATTTATACTCCAAATGAGTGGAATGCATTAATTCGGTGGTCGAAACAAACAGGTGAAGCATACACAGTTACTGATGTCACTCAAGATATGATTTTTGATTTTAAGAAGATGCAGAAATCTTCTATCTATAATTGGACTAAAGATGCAAACGGTAATCAAGTGAAATGGTCCAAAATAAAACAAGTTATAGTCTCCCACAATACACCTGATTCATTGACTTTCAAGTATGACCTGGCTAGAGATGCAACTGAACATGTCATAAATGTTAAGCCAATGCATACAACAAAAAGGCGTACTAGATACCGAAAACAAGACCACGTACCAGTAGAGCCTGGCTTAAATAGATGTTATAATGGACTGTTACCGCTTACAGAAGACAAAAAGAAAGATTTGATGTCTATGTGTAGCGCTAAAGTGATTCCAGCAGGATATCATGCATTTTTTTCTAATCTAACAGTATCATCATCAGCGGATCAAATTGAAGATTTAAGCAGTGATGAAGAATAGATTATTAAAATTATAACTAGTTGTTGATTGTGATATTCCGTAACTGTTGATCTCAATACTTTTAAGTTTTAAATTAATTTTATTATTTGTTTTAGAGCAAGCTATACTTACTCTCTATAATTAAGAACGAAACGTGGCAAATCTATGGTTCAAAATTACATAATGTCTTGTTTGTTAAAAGAATCTAATAAAACATTCAATAATTCTATGTTGATTTTGAGTTCTATTTTTAAATTATTAATGTGGTTGATTGTTTACTTTATTACTTTATTACTTATATTTTTATAAAAAATAATTGTAGTTAATCTAGTTTATTTTGCAGGTACAATTAAAGTGATTTTTACCTTTTTAAATAATTGAGTATGATTGTAATAAAATACTTAAGTCAGGTTAAACTCATGCCAAATTGTAATTGCTCTCTTAAAAATATTTTTGATATAAAGTCTACTAAACTTCTGAATAAAACTTTTGATTTTTAGTACTGAAATATTTTATTTTTGATACCCATTTTTACATGTTAAAAAGACTTAACCATAGTTTGCACCCCGTTTATGGGCGCATGTGCTTTTAAACGAAATTACGTCATAATAGGTATTATTTTTGGTTGACCGTTATTGATTTTGGCTTCTAATAGTAACAAAGAACCCTTTAAATATAGAACAATACCGTTATAATACACAAACATAAATAATTATTGATCCTCGTATACGGGCGGAAGATCACAAAAGCCTTTTTACGTGGAATAATATAATATTAATCATAGAAAATGAACGATGTAAAATGTCGAAAGTGCAAAATCTCGAAATATATAAAAAATACATAAATAAATGTAACTATAATATAAATAAAACGACATGTCTACGCTTACTGCAAAATTTCATAAATATTGTTTTAGTAGTTTATGAGATATGATACAAAATACAGCTCTGGAACCTTTAAAGTGCTCTCCTGTAAAATTTGATTTTTGCACTTAGGGCAGTTTACGTAGGAGCCATCGATTATTGCCTAGACAAGTAATAATATTGCAAAATTGCAATGATATTGCAAAAAAAACGTTTTTCGTAAAATCTAATCACTTAGGGCTAACTATGGGCTAAGTGATTAATCGTGCAATATTCATAATGCCCGTGTAATATGAATAAAGTCCAAAAAGAGCGGGCAATGTGATTAAAGCCAATCAATTTATCACATTACCCGGGCATTATTCATAATGCCCGGTGCCTATTGGGCAGAGTGATATAACGCATGTTTAATACTTTCAAAAGAATTGTTAGTTCGATAGACCGAGCATTACAAGTAATGAAATCAATTATCGGGTAGAGTAATAATAAAAACATGTTTTATAGTTTAGTATTAATTTTAAAATTTAAATAATCAGATTTCGGTTTTATTTCGATCAATTTACGAAGGGCTACATACATTTAGAAACTATAGTCTATAGTAGTTTCAATGCAGTTTGTTTGAAAAATTCATTAAATCTGTTAAATGATTACAATGTATGGTTCCCTATTTTTTAGGATGCAATAAATAGGGAAGTAAGAACCAGTACTTCTGCCTTATCTCCGGCGCTGCGGGAATAACAGCCCCTCCGCCTTTGCGTGACAAATTGTAAAGCCACATTTACTTTTTCCTAAGTGTAGAGCCCATACTTTTTTTTATTTACCAAGATCTCAAAACAAACACAAAATGGCGAGACATCTGTCATATTGACAATAGTACCAACGTTTTGAACTTATTCATACTGCCCGGTTCAAACAATTAATTCAAGCTTTCTAAACACTGACTTATTACATGGACCACGAGCCGTCCGGCATTATTAATAATGGCCGGGCAATGTGATAAATAGGTGAGTTTAGATTGTAATTAATCACTTGGCCCGATATGGCTGGGCATTATTCATACTGCCCGCATTAATCACTTGGCCCATAACAGACCTATTGACTGCAAATAATGCATAAACATTATTTAATAGATGTACGCTAAGCCTGTTACATAATTTTTTTACAACTACCCTCAAAAAATTACAAAAATTTCGTATCAACGTTTATTTGGTAGAGTCAAATAGTCCAAAAGTGTGTCTGATGTCGTCGCTTGTCTACGAAGCTTCCAAAAAGCAATGAAAAAGAATTACATGTTAGTCTTAAACTTCCAAAATCTGTATTAATATCTTCATGTTCTTTTTTCGAATGCTGATTCATTATGTTTCCATAGTATTAAATAGACCCGTGTGATGCCAGGACGGATCGCTAGTATTGTATAATTTATTAACAGTGGGTGCTGACGTTTCGTTAATGGTACTGAATTAAAACACATATACTATGTTATCGAAGTTATTAAGCTGTGAAGAATTGGAGGTGTCTTGCAGCCAAAGATATAATAGAATAAGATTCAACACGTCCTAGCTTTTAAAATCCCGAATTGCGAAGGATGTTGGTCCATGCCCAATCTTATACCTGGACGGACTTGAATATTATCTAGTTTTTTTCTCTAGTTATTAAAGTCAAGTCAAATGACAAAATATATTATAAAATATGTTGTAAAAGCCAAAACATTTTCAATTAACATTTTTTATAGAATAACAAAAAGTATTTGCAGAGAAGAGATGAAAATTAATCTTTCGAGTTAATTTGTTCATTCCGTTTTATAGCTTCGTCTTAAACCAGAAATAAATACATCTGAGTTTGCAATCTGTGGCATTCCACCAATACTGCCAATTAGACCCGAGATTCCGTGATAGGATTAACAATTCAGATTAAATTAGTCAGACACTACGTGGAAAACTCAAGTTCGAAGTGTACAGCTTGTTTGCAAGACCGTTTAGCTTTTTTCAGTATAAATAAAGCTCCCGATCGAAATTTAATATTGAGCATACCTAATATGCCGAACATAATATTATTGACAGTCATCAAAACTGTGAAAAAATAATGTTGCTTGTGATGCCGCTCACCGGAGTCACAGGGTACATGCACGTAACATTTTCCTTGCCACAATATGCACGCTACGTTTTGCTTTTGTTTCACTACTAAATACACCCGCTACAAATGTGTCCTTGGTGTGCGTGCTTACATGCAGATAATATGAGGGCGTCAAATGTGCCGTATTTCAAATGTGGCACCGCAATTATCGTAATACAATTGTACGTCTGGTGTGCGGCCCGCCTAATCAATCAAATACTCGCGTTTAAAACTCAGTTTATTTGTATAATTCAATTAATCTATTTTCATGCACAATCGGTTAAAAAGTGCGTCTATAACATTCATTTATATTATTTTTATATAGAAAAGCAACAGTAGCTTTTTTTGTACAAAAAGTTTTTAGCTAATAATTTGATGCGTAAAAATAACTATATACCTGCTTATAAAATATCCCACTTCCTTCTAATCCTCTCCATCCAAAGGTTGTCTGGAAGAGATCGCTTATAGCGATAAGGCCGCCCATTGTAACACTTAATTTAAATGGTTCTGTATTTATTGTAATGTGGTGTTCAATAAAGTGTTTTGTATTGTATTGTATTGTAAAATATATTTATAAATGGACATGGTTCTTTTAGTACAAATAAAACGCAAATTGCCAGATTTATAAACAGTTAACACAAGGGCGAAACGAGGAATCAACCTCAGTAACATATAGTTATAAATAATGATTTTTATTCATGCATCATTATGTCCGCTAGAAGAGTAGCCAACCTGAAAGCTAGAAAATCAAATTCATTATCTCTAACATTAGTAGCACATCTCAATTATAGAGCTTTCATTATACAGACGAATCGGTGCGTTAAATAGGTGAAAATAGTCCATTCATAAATCTCTCTTTCTGTTTAAACAGCTCGGTTTTGAACAATACAAAGATAATGTCGAAAGAATTATTTATTTGACTCTAGATAAATACGCAGTTATCATTAATCTTAATCATACAACCTACTAACTGTATCTTACGACCTTTCTAACCGTATATGCTAAAAATACAATTTATGAATATAATTTACTGTGTAATTTTCTCGTTCAAACTACTTCTTGTTACTAGTAAAAATGGTTTGAATACAGAACTTTCTCTATGCGTAATATGCCTGAGTAAAACATATCTACAAAATCTCAGTTTTGTTACTTATTGTTTAGTTAGTTATTATTTGCACTTCTTAATTTTATAAGCATATCATACATAAGTATTCTGTTTGTTCGTAGCGAGCGGTGAACACATACTATATGGTGAAACTCCAAGTTCGGACAGAGAGTGTGTGCTTGCGGCCTTGGGCCTTCGAGCGTGTGCCTGGTAAGGCGCTGCGAGGCCTCGACAACGTCATTATCTATACGTCCACCAAAGAGGCTTGCCTCGCCGCCTGTCTAAATGAGGTAAGAATCAAGTGTTTGGCCTGGATAATGCAGGATTAAAACTGTATTAGCTACAATAAAAATGACACCCGCAGAATCAGTGCAGTAAAGAGATTGTGTAGAAGCAATGATATTAAAAACCTACAGTTCATTTCCAGAGATCTTCTAATCCGCGAACAATAAAATCATGGAATTATCTCCCCTTCACGGTGTTTCTCAATACTATAATATGGTCCGCTTCATGAGAGGCGAAGGAGAGAAAATAGAGTGAACCATGAAAGGCAGTGGCATGACTGTGTCACTGGCATGGCTGATATCCATGGGCGGTGGTGACCACTTAATATCAGGTGGCTGTGCTCTCCATTTTGACGCAAGTCGAACGCGCGTTACTTTAACTTTAACTTTAAAATTCTCCACATGCTCAGTGCTGTTTTTGTAAAATTTATTACTAACACAGACAAATTAATCAATGAAAATAGTAGAAAGGAAACGACGGTGAAGGTATCTTGTACATTCATTCAACGAGAAAAGGCTTTTAATTTGCCAATTTAGGTACTAAATTTAGGTACTAGGCACGGACTACAAATATCTAGTTCCTTAATGTGCAATTATAGTATTCTTAAACAGTGTCGCTATCGTTGGAGTTCTGTAATTTAGAAACAAAATCTTGCAACTACAATAAATTATTATAATTGAATTGCATTCTGTGCTTTGGCTAAATATACCAAACAATATTTTCGTAAATGATTCATCACCGAACTCCACATTTGGCCTCACATATATATTCACAGCCCAATAAATTTTATAATTAGCCATTTTATTGAAGAAATCTTAATAGCTAGGCGTAGCTTTTAAGACTTTAACCTGATTTCATTAATGGTTATCATAATTAAGTTTACTTTAAATATGTATACACTCCGCATAAAGGGGAGAACTTAATTCTAGACAAGTTCATCTAGAACCGATCTTTAGTGGTACCCCAGTTAGTTAACTATTTGTCGCCTCCGCATTGCAATTTACCATTTATCTATTTAATTTATGTTTTATGGTTTCGTCCTAGTTGACTAGTACCAATATTCGAGATATAGGCGAAATGATATGGCATGTTTATAACGTCCGGATTTCTATGGACGCCGCCGCCGCTTCTATACATAGTAAGGAATCGTGGTTAATGTTGCAATATAATTTAACATGCCATTGTTTTACAGGCTCGCCTTACTACATTTGTAACGCAATTGCATTCCTCCTAGTTGTTTTATTATGATTTTAAAGAACTTCGGATTTTCGCTATTTTATTCACAATTTCAAGACATGATAGGTAATTTGTTCGATTGCAATTCGCGGAGCTTAAAGCTCGAGTATGATTGTTATATTTTTGTTGGTATATAGTTTCACCCGCAGCAGCCTTTTATAATGAGTTTTAAACATATTTGAAGTGCCTTTTATTATACTTTATTTTTATAAATTTTTGAGCTTAAAGAATTAATTGGCTGGGCTTAAAGAACTGCACTAAATTACCCTGTGTATAAGAATCGTGTTTCATTATTTTTTTGTAGTCACTGAGGGAAAATAATCATTAGAAAATTTTGTTTTCTATAACATAACGAAACAGCTTTAGACCTAAAATAATACGTACAAGACGTACTTAAGCAAGCATTCCTTTATAATGGGCGACGATTAAACGGAATATTATGCCATTAAATTTCACTAGGCACCGGCAAAGTTCAGTGTCGCTGCTATCTTGCGATCGTCTCGTGAACCACTATGAGCCACTTTCTGGTACATCGTGGTTAATGGTTCTCACCGACCTTATATCCTTTCTCCCAAAGCAAACACTCAATGTTCATTGTGATCTTAAAAATTTAAGACGGATTTTTCGCTGATGGAACAAGTAAAATCCTCTTATAAAAGTCAACAGTCAAATAACTATTACGTAGTAGTGTTGTCTGTAGTTAGTAAGGTTTTCAATGACAGCTTAACGGAAAATTGGAAAAGATCGGTTTGACGCCGGTAAGAAGACAGCGGCCCAATCGCATTTTTTCCATTTTCTCAATTGAACTCCACTATTAAGTGTTAGTGGAGTGCAATTGCGTCGGGTCATTATCTGTATAATGTTGGTTCTGTTTAGCTAACGTTAAAAAAGTCACACAGTTTTTAATACTATAACATTTAATAAGCAATGTGTATAGAAAACAATAACAAATGAGTAAGCAAATGCATTTTTGATTTCGAGTTTTGGTATTTATTAACTATGTCAAAAATCAAAACTAATGAAACACCATTGATACACAATAAAATTATTACTTAAACTTAGCAGAATCGACACCTTAGTTGGATGAAGTCACCATTGGGTTCCACTCAAACTTAAGATAAGGTTGGATGGAGTCATTAGGTAAAAAAAATCTTTGTCACCAGAAACGGTTCGCGTGCCGATCGGCGGAGTATGAGTACGGCAGTATGCGATGTGCTCTCAGCGATTCTGATCGCCGCACCGCGCAACATATCGTGCAGCTTGTGGACACACCTGGCACGGACTATTTTGAGGTATGTATATGTATAGATTAAAAAATCAGACTTTATCAACTGGCATCGGTGGGTCAGTAGTAGAAAGCTCGCCTACTGCGCGGGCGGGCCGGGTTCGACTCCCGGTCCAGGATGGACTTTTTAAAGTGAAACTTTTATTACAGCGCCACAATAGTTTTCTTTAATTTTTAGTATGTCGCATTAGATATTTAATTGTTATTTAAAAAAGCATATCTTATCAACAACCATCCATGGCTCAGTGGTAGAAAGCACGCCTGCTACGTCGGCGGCCTTGGTTCGATTCCTAGTCGAGGAAAGACTTTTTAAAGTAATGATTTTAAGTTTCAATTGCAACATAGTTTCATTAAATCACACCATTTTTTAATTATATTTTTCAATGAGGATTATGTTTGTTTTAATTCTAGCCATTTCATTAATATGATGTAAGTGCTCCACATAGTCTACCTCATCTTTGTCATTGGACTTGTCTGATGTTTTACTTATAATGTGAACTCTGTAAAATAACAAGAGAATTAAAAATTAAATATACTTACAAATTATTTTTTTAAGGGTCTTTAGAGTTTTCAATGCTTACTTTAATTAATATTAACATTTTCCATGTTAGAAACTTCAATGCTTATGTAATTTCAAGCCATTTACTCCATACGGGGTGGGCTCCATAAGAAGTGGGAAAATTATCAGAGGCCATGAGGTAGATAAATAAACATAGGATTAACTTTACTCCTATAGCCATACCTTAACGTAAAGATGTAAATTTTTGATTAAGTAAAGTTATGTAAGTGTCACTGCCCATTGTGTAAATAAAACCACACACTGCTATTTTTATAGAATAACGTTAATTTTTTTTGTTTCCTCCCATGCGGGGGAGCGTGTGAGAAATCCTCATGGATACCCTACAGCCGGCTGCAGGGTTATGTCAGACTCTTACTGACTAAAAAACACCCGTTGGGACTGCCTCTGGCCGGGAAGGCCTTTAAGGCTTCATCGGATACGGGGACGATGCAGCGCTGCCTAGTGATAACTAGCACATATGCGCTCCTTTGACGAGCGGCTCCCCGGTTTGGTGAACGTTAATTGTAAACCTTCACCACTATACCTTGTCGCAAAACGAAACCATAGTATGTTTTCCTAAAGTAAAGTACGACATCTATCGACTACTGTGATAACTAACAAAAATGAAAGTAATTTATGATTTAATGGTTTTAAATATAAGTGTGGGGAAATAATAGTGTGAGTTATTATTTAAGTTATTGCAACAAAAGTTTCTGCAACTTCTCAGTCGGTACGATTATGGACTTTTAATATCAGCAGTGCTATTCTGTAAAATTTTCACGCGCGGATCCGATGTGGATCCACGGGTGATAATTTCACAGAATAGCACTACAGCCCGGAGGGTAAACTCACCAACTCGACACGTTAGACAGCAAATACGTATATTCTATATTTTTCTTTTGTTCCTCAATGAAAACCGTTGCTTTCATTTAAGTGAGCTGTTGTTATATCGCAACAAAACACTATCGTTACCGCGGTTCTATTTCGAAGGTAACTAAAAGTGGAAGCGACATAACAAGCAATAACACAACATAGTTACACCCGCATTTCGAAGACAAAATAAACCCTTTACACCACTCATCGCTTCCCAGCAAAGAGGACAATTTTGCAAACAATTGTAAATTGGCGCGGCGTTTGAGCAGCTGCAAATGAACATGTATGTGGGTTATTACATGAGCAATTGTTACGTTGGGGTGGTCATTATATGAACTGTTGTTATTTGGTCTGATTATGCGCGTGTGTGGTCCAGAATCTCTGCCTGAAGGCGTCGCAGGCGTGCAAGAACCACCGCATATTCACCGCTCCGCGCGTTGGCGTCGCTGAAGACAAAGTGGCACAGTACGCTGGGTTACACTACTACACAGATAAAGAGCTGCAGGTGAGTTTAAAAAAATAATAAAATCAGTTGAGAGCATTTATAAGCATGAAAATTTAACTCTTTGTTTCTCTTTGTCTATTAAGCCCGTTAATTTTTTTTTCGTTCATGGCCTATAACTATAATACCTAATGTGTACAAAATTTGCGCTTACAGAAAACTACTACGTAAAGAGAGCGAACTTATATTAATTTATAAAGAATTTCTAGATTACAGGCATTACAATTAATCTTGAAATCGATTTACGGGCAAAGTAAAAAATATACGACTATTCACGAGTGAAAACTTTACGTTACTTTACATGCATGCATACCTACCTTTATCTTTTATTAAAAATGTTAAATTGAGAATAAAAAAATAAATAATTACATGTTAAAACTACATTAAAGTATATTTACACATCATCACAAACATGGCGTTCCTATTTAAATTTGCCTGCAGCAAATTAAAAAATATAGTAGTAAACTGCATCGCAACAGATGATGGACATAAAATTGTGACTTATACCAGTGTAAGTACAATTATAATGACGATGGAAGGGCCATTATTATCACTTTTGCAGTAGATCCCCATCCACTCCATGATAAATAACGAGCTGTCGACAGTTCTCTGTGTATGTCTATTTCAAGTCAAGGATTTATTAATTTAATGGTCCATCAAGCTGCTTCTCTCCTTTAATTTTTGTATTTTATAATGGCTGCTATATTATTAATGCAATTTTGTTTATACGTGTTCTAATTGCTTGCAATGAATTGGAAGAAAGTAACGTTTAAAGAGTTTCCATTAATAATGTGTATTAGAGTTTCTATTACTATCTAATTGAGTACATCTTTTATACCGTAAATGTTAATGTTTTCTGTAATACCGCATTACTTAATCTAGGAAATCGTCATCATCATCATCATCAGCCTATTAATGTCCCCAATGCTGGGGCATAGGGATGGCCCTATGGATGGAATAGGGAGATTTGGCCATGACCCACTACGCGGGCCCAGTGCGGATTGGTGGGTGTTAACGACTGCAGATGCTGCCGGGACCAACGGCTTAACGTGCCTTCCGAAGCACGGAGGAGCTCGTGATAGTAAATTTTTGGTCACCCATCCAATGACCGAAAGGAAAAATAGGAAATCGTGAGACCGTTAAAATTTCCTTTAATATCTGTAATATTAAATCCAAGAAGTCGTTAAATTACTGCATATTGAAATTCACCTCATGACACTATTTCTACCACTTTAGGTGACGTCCGATTCAGCTTGCCGTCTAGCCTGCGAGATTGAGTCGGAATTCTTGTGTCGTTCGTACCTCTATCTGGGCGCGCCTCACTCCACCGCGTACAACTGCCGCCTGTACCATTTGGATCACCACACACTGCCTGATGGACCTTCAGCTTACCTCAATACAGAGAGGCCCTTAATTGACGACGGTGAACCTATCGGAAAATACTTCGAGAACTTCTGCGAGAGTGAGTACTTTTTACTTAGCCTATGCTGTATACTATTCGTTCCAACGTTTTAATTTTTGCCACAGATATAGAAATATCGTAGCTATTTTTAAACCAGGCGCCGCCGCCTAATTGTAGTGCTGGTGACTTCATGAGTTATCTCATGTTGAAGTCAATTTTCAATTGGACGACTCTGTATATAATACATGGAGAAAAAGACAGCCCTTGTACAAGGTCTCCCGCCGTAAATTTGCGAACCATTGGCGTAGCTTTTCGACATTCACAAGTGCTTGTATCAGCTTAGACTGAATAAACGATACTGAATTTGAGTTTGCTTTTTAAAGATAGGTTTTTGTATTTTACATAGAGTCACCAAGTAAAACCAATATGCTAGAATATTACAGGTTCCGTCAAAATGATTCTATTAATTTATATCTAAGTATCTAATCACGTGGCCCTTTGGTTATGGAGTCTGTTTAAAACTGAGCAGCATTTCAAAGTACGATGGAATTTAAAAAAAACATGATAAGACCACCAGATGTTAGCCATTAGCTTTTTCTCGTGTTCAACAGCCATTTCCGGAACAACGGTAGGGAATGGCATCTTTGTCTTATGAATTTCTCTAGACTTTTAAGTGTTTATAAAGTACAGAAAATTATTTTGCTAAATAAAATTATTATTGAATCAACAATCACATAAGTATTAATTTGTTGCGATATTTCATTCAATTCCGATATTTGAATGTTAAACCCGATTCAAGGACTACCCATACTATGTACTTAAGGATATAGAAAACATTACTTATTTTTGAAACGAAATAAGTTCTAAATTGTAGGTATATTATATTGTACTTTAGAAACCCAGCGCACTCTTGAATAAAGTACCTGTACAGAATTGTTGGCATTACCTTTTTAGGATTCCTTAGCCAAATTTCAAAAACGGAACCCTTACAGTTTCGTCATGTCTGTCTGTACGCCCGAACACAGCCACTTATTTCCGAAACTATAAGAACTATATTGTTGAAACTTGGTAGATAGATGTATTTTGTGAGCCGCATTAAGATTTTTACACATAAACTAATAAATAGAAAAAAAACGTAGGGTTGCACTCCGTGATGCCGGCAGAAGTGAAAACTTGAATATTAACGTTGTGCATTTTTGATATTTTGGAATGATTAGGGAATAATTTTGCACGAATTGCTTTAATTATCAGTATCAGTATAAAAGTACTATCATTTATGTGGTAAAATTCAATATTTATTTATTGCGCTATCGTACACAAACATGACAATTTATATTACGTTAAAAAGTTTATCTCTCAGAAAAATCAACTGACATGAATCACATTTAAGCGCTCCTAGCGACATCTATTGTAAAAAAAGTGCATTTTCTTCGCAATAAAGCTGCCACCTGGTCATCCTAGATAGAGACGTATTATTATAATACGATAAAATAAAATATTACTATGTTTCGTCCAATATATTGAAAGTCAACAAACTGTCCAATTTTATTGTTTTCGTCTTACGAATTTTCGATTAGGTCACCTGACGTATCGACGTCTTGACGCGAATATAACTTTTCTTACCTATTACAAAAAAATTGTACAACGCCGTTATAGAAGTTTTCACATCAAAAAACAATACGTTTTGGGGGTTCCTCATACTTACAAGTTTGGTTTGAACGAGATCTAGTAAGAAGTTTATTTTAATAATTAATTAATTGAAAAAAATACAATATTATTAAAATATCGATCAAAGTTACAACGAACTACAAGTACTTTATTATGTTACTTTTATATTATTTCACTTGCTGCTATGGAACCCTTAAGGGGCGAGTCTGACTCGCACTTGGCCGCTTTTTTTCTCTATTCGAGAGTAATAATGAGTTGAGTGAGTACAGGAGTGCTCCTCATTGATAATGGGAAAATAATGAACGGTTTGATTAAAAAAGCGTTGTAATAACTTTATACCGCCCGATAATTATGTGGACCTTGGCGCCAGGGTATGGGCTATAAAGAAACCCAACCCAAAGGAGGCTACTTTGTACATACCTACTTTGTTTGTATGTCAATAAAATTGTAATGTTTTCTAAAATAGTCTTAAGGAAATAGTTTCATAATAGCGGGGGCTGATATTTGTGTGATGAATACGAGCATTTGTACTCCAGTCATGGATGTTTAATATGTATTGCTATGTAAATAAACTCATATGTGTAACATTATATGTATTCTATCCGTTACCCTAGTATCCCATAACACAAGCCTACAGTGCTTACTTTGGGGCTAGGCTAATTGGTGTGAGTGTAGGTAATTATTTATTTATAAATTAATTAAAATAATGTTCATGTTTTCTAGGAAAAATATTAAATTCAAATGTTAATTAGGGCCTGATTGTTAAAATACACTTTGTTTAAATTACTAAGTAGTCGAATACTAAACGTGTTTAGACAATCAAGATTATTGGATAAACTTAGAGCACTTTAAACTGTCGTAATAAAATGTAATCGCGTTTTACGATCCGTAGAACCACCGGATTGTTAGGTTACTTTGCTACAGATAAATTTTATCTATCGGTTTTCAAGTACGCGGTGTATTATTTAGGGGCTCGATTTGCGAATACGGAAGAGATTGCGAACGGTGCATTATCGAGACTTATTTATGGTTGCGGCGTACGTATATTTTTGTTACCAGCCATTTCCCAAGTTTTTGTTATATTAATGTTGAATGAAAACCTTTATTCCTTCTTCACCTTTACGTTTAGTTAAAACTAAAAGTATATATTTATAGTAGATATGACAATTTAACTATTCCTTAAATATATACCTTACTGCATACTAAAACATTAAATATTATACATATCAAAAGTTACATTATTAAAAATATAGAAAGGGATATACATACACCTCCTTGTATCATAAATGTTTATATGGCGCGGGTTTTTCCTTCGCGAGCACAGGCTATTTCTATAAAAGGGCTACTAGATGAGAGTTATCGTCGGTCCTCTTATCGGCTCGAGGTGGCTGGCACCTTAGCTTTAGAAACCTGCACTTATTTAGAACTTTCGATATCTTCTACTGATATTATAATGATACCATCCTAGACAGTATAAGTTAGTTATGTCCTTAAAAGGTTCCCATTAGGTTTTAATGGAAAGAGGACGTTTTCAGTTAAATAACTCGAGTAATCAATTTGTTTAGGGTTTAATGAGTTTCACCTCGCCAATTACCTAGATTCTTGTGTGGTATCGTCATATAATTTCAAGCTGGAGTAACGGTCCTATTAACGCTTTCTATTAACTTAACTTTTTATGTTGGCAGATTAACTAAACTTCATACTAGCAATATATTGTTTGAAACATTCATGGTCACTAAAATTATAGCTATTAACGGAATTATTCATATTAGCAACTTTGTTACAATTTACGTTATTTTTAGGTATTACTATGAAATTATTTTCCCGAATATATAAATTACTTAGTACAGACAGACATGTAGAAATATATCAAAGTTTTTAGATAAAATGGTCATGAATCCAAAAATATGGTAAGGAAATTACATGGCTTTGCCATAAAACCATAAAATTTATAAACAACTAGCGACCGCCCGCGACTTCGTCCGCGACATCTCCATGTCTAATCAATGAATGAAAAATAAAATCAAACTTGCAAATTATCGATAATCAATCTAATCAAACATTTGGTTAAAGACTAATAAAGAGATTGATTGAAGTATTCAAAGACCATGATCATGATTTTCCGTAAATAGAAATGAACACTGATCAGTATCAAACCCGGTTTGCATCAATTTGAATAAATATCAACTTCGCCATTGGTAAGTACGGAAACGGTAGTAGTCCATTGTGCTGTCAAAGCCATCAGCCGTAAATAAGTGAGTGTGCTGATGAATCTCGATAGAGTTTCTTATTAAATTAGCTAGGAGGATATATTTCTTGTTAATATTATTCTCACGCTGAATTTTTCACTTCCAAACAAAGGCAGATACTTCCGATGACGCATGCGGTGTCAGTATTAGATTAATATTTTAAGGTCCAGTGTTAAGTTTAAATGACACACTATATTTAAAATTTACACTGAAATATGAGCGATAGGAATTATGAAACGCTCCCAATGTTAACTTTCTACTTAATTGAGGAAAATATTGTAGGTGATCCTATAAAACTCTAGTTCATTATCGTAAAACAGCATGCCAGATGTTTAAAGAATTTTTGGAAATATGTATGTATTTTATGGTAGAAGAATTGAAAGAGGTACTATAAAATTGTAACAAACAAAGATAATTCTCCGAGAATGCTCCAAAGAGGTTCAATTGGTATTTACGACATTATGAATAGTTTTAATGTTGAGTTAATATTGTTCAAAATACGCAACATTAAAAAAATGAAAGTTGGAAGCTACTCATTAGAATAGTACGGGTCCTAATGTTATTTCTTAACTGGTTGTGATGATCTTTTATAGAAGGTAATGAACACGCCACTTCTTTTAAACTTGGAAAGGATCTGGTGTAAGACACTCCACAACAATAGAGAAAAAGCACTTCACCGTGCCGTGTTTGGCTTCACCACACAAAGCCAAACACGACACGTCCAAAATAAATTCGTAATAGCCACAATACAAAACAATTTTAGCAACGTTCATCTATAACAGGCTATTCTGCCAAGTAATCTCCCATTTCAGTTTACAGCTATTAATAATTCGTGACTGGTATCATGTCTTCTGTTTATTGCACTGCATGTGGCACACGTTATAAATTCAAGAGGCGTGTAATACGGACTTTTTATTTGCCTGAATGTGCAATGTACACCGCCTGCTACTCGCTGCAAGTAATGCCGTAAATTGTATGCTCAACTAGTTGAACTAAACTGCAAATTTAAAACACGGATTTCAAGTGGTTTGAAATGTGAGGTATATGTGAATGTTAAATCTGTTTGTTGTTGTTGTAATGTTATTGTATCATACTTTTTAATTTTTGGTGTCGTATCATTCAATATTATGATCAATACAAAAT